CCCCGCCGGCCGGTGTCCCCGCCGCCCTCCCTGACCCATGGCGCTGAAGCGGATTCAGAAAGTGAGTGCCGGGGCCGGGCCTGGGGCGGCGGGGCGGGCATCGGACCCCTGCCCACGCTGACCCGTCCGATGGTCCCAAGAGACGTGCCGGGAGACACGGGATGGGAAGGTGGGCCGGGACGGGGACAGGGCGCCAGAGGTGCCGGCCGGGTCAGCGGGCACGGGACAGGTGAGGTGTGAGCAGGGCAGGTCCCGGGTGGCCGGAGGTGCCTGGAGGCGCGGGACCCGCTGCGCGCTCGCGCCAGAGCTGCGCCCGGAGCCCCGGGTGGAGATCCTGCTCGGTGTCCAGACCTTCCCGGCTTCTGTGCCTCACGGTCATGGCTGGGTTTTGCCCTCCACTGGGCGAGTTTTAGCCCGTGTCATGCTGTGGTTTCTCCACGCTGCTGTTTAAGCCTATCCTTTTTGATGTTCTTGCCTTCCCGGGCTCCCCGGGAGGGCATGAAGGTGTGGAGGGCCTGCAGCCTTTCTCCTCGGAGCTGTCGGGCTTGTTCTTTCTCTCCTCTGTGGTTGGCTCTTGCTCCGTTGCCCGAATGGGCTGGAAAAGCCCGTGTGGGGCCGAGAAGCGAGGAGGAGGCTCCTGCTCCTTCTATTTTGGTGCCTCGGCTGCTGCCACTTCAGGTCACATAGCTGTAGTGAAAACATAGTTGCTGATACATAACAAGATGACCTCTTGGCTGTGATTCATGGTGAGTCAAGCCAAACAGGTTCTTTTCCCTCATGATAAACTTAGATGTAAAGTTTGAGACACAACAGAAACTGCCACAAATTAAATTGTTTTGATGCTTTGACACAGGGGTATAGAATGAGGAAGAAATGTATATATTCATTCGACAGATATCCATCCCAGCCCTGTGTAAGGAATTGTCTTCATATTATTTATTGCAACCATTTCAGATGTGAACATCTTACAAAATTGGAATTTGGGCATTTTTTTCTGTTCACTTTTATTTCTTGTTGGGTTACTGGTCGGTTCACTGACCCAAGTTTTAGGTTTTACCATTATGGTCCATGGTGGGGACATTGAGAATTTGTTTGTTTAATAGGGATCGCTTTCAGCAAGTTGAGCCAACAGTGGACAATGTATTTTGTGATTTATTTCAGAAGAAATTGATGCCTACTGAAAATTTTTATCAGCTTTTTCGACCGTCAACCAGTACAGCAGGAGTATATGTTAGAGTGATAGACATGTATACATTGTATTCTGACTCGCTACTTTAGGTACAGAGGACAGCAACTTTTAGACCCAGCCTAATTTTCTTTTTCTTTTTTTTTTTTTCCTTTTTGTCTTTTTTCGTGACCGGCAACGGATCGCAACCCTCAGTGTCGCGCCCGTACTGGACCGGGACCGGCAATGGGATTGCAACCCTCGGTGTTGCTCCCGCACCTCGCTCAGCCAGTGAGCGGCAGGTCTGCACGTGGGATCCGAACCCTCAGCGGGAGCGCCGCCGCGCTTCCCAAGTGGTGCACTGTAGCAGTGCGCCACCGGGCCGGCCCCTAATTTTCTTTCCTTTTGGTTCGAATATTAAATCCGTCGATTGCTGTTTTGCGTTGTGCTATTTAAGGGTCATCTCACTACAAAATGTACAGTTAACAATCAACACTTACTAAGTTATAGTATTTTCTGGTTTGAAGATAATGCAATTACACATCTTTTTTTTCATGTAAATAATCCTAGTTTTGAAGCCTCAGTCAACATCTTTACCATACCTTGCATACTTATTAGTGATGATGTAATATTGATTCACATTTGGATCACGCAGCACGCATTTTCCACGGAAGTTTTCAAATTTAATTTCCTTCTTTCCTTGTTGTGAGAATTTTACACATGACTTCGCACATACAGTAGCATTTAAATACTGTGGAATTCAACCACAGTAAGTGGACCTTCAAAGAAATATGGACACTTATTTGTAATCACCATACTTGGCAATTCTTGTCAGTGACTATGCTGAGCCACTGTGTTTGACTTGTATTTATAATATGGCATATGTCTGTATCTTTTTTATAGTAGTTATTGGTTATTAGATTATAACAGACTTGTCCAGTACAAGAATATCACTTAGATAGAATTAATGTCAAATCTGTGACAAACTGATATTTTGGAGAAGAAATTGAGGATCACATAACATCACATCCCTGTGTGTCAGTCTTTGGCTTCTGTTATCAGGCGAGTTGACTTACACAGATCTCCTTTCCACTAATCGCACATTCAGACCATCTCCTCAGATCCTAGGAGTGGTTATTGTGATTGATTCCCTACTTTTCCTCCTCTTTTACCTACCTTCTTGATTAGAAGCCGGTTCCAGGCAGATGTGCTGTCTGCCATATCTGTTACAAAGCCCTCTGTGATATCATCAGTATACCGATTTTTATTTGAATCTTGCATGTTCCAGCAGATGAGGATGTGTACTAACTTTTAGCCTTTCTTTTTAAGCATGTTAAAGTAACATTGTCAGATAACTTTTAGGTTATTGGGTTGCACTTTTCCTGTAGTAAAGTGGCAGGCTTTAGAGCTGTGTAGGACCTCAGAGAAGTCTGCAGTAGTGTAGCAGAGGGCACCAGCAGGTGAACAGCTTCTAGGACAGTGTATCAGAATCGCCTGCAGGACATTTTCAAGACTGTCCCTACTGCTGTAAATAGAGAGATATTGACTCCCTCAGATGGGCTGGAGTGGAAAGAAGGTTGAGAACCACTGATGTGCTGGTCTATCTTTGTTCAAAGAAGGAACTTGAGGACTGGAGTGGAGGAGTGCTTTGCCCAAGGTTAATCTCTTAAGTGATTTAGCATATTTCAGAATGTTAAAAAGTTCATGATTTCACATTTCTTCACTACAAAAAGAATAAAGATGGTTGAATTAAAATTGTATGTATGTACAAAACATGTGGATATCATTGCTTAAAATACATTTCTGTACTAGAGTGTACTGAATGATTTAACAGTCTAATTTAGACATCCTGTGCCAGTTTTGCATTTCAGCTCATAAATTTACACACCCATGCCCTATTTTTAGATACAGCAAAAGATGTTATCACTGTCACCTAAATCACTAAAGGGAAGAAGTTGAGCAAAGTCAGAGGAAAGATACCTGATACATACCTGAAAAAAGAGGGCAGTTTTTCAGCTGGGCATCTGTTTTCTACAATTAATTTTTAAGTGTTTCTTCTATCAATGCTATTTTCAATCCTTGATACACTTTTCTGGAGATCATTTCTAAAATTGCAAACGTTGTATCACAATACTGAATGTTTTGAAAACAAGAAGAAAAAAAAAGGAAGTCCTCATACAGCCATTTTTATCACCTTAGAATATTTCCATCTAGATTTGTTATTTGATAAAGAATTTGAGATAATGATCATCATACAAACATGATGTGATATGATCGGCTTATTGTCTTTTTTTGTCAATCTTTTGAAAAGTGAAATTAAAGAGTTAATATTACAAATATAGCCACATAGTTAACTATTCCTTAGTATATAGCTCTGTTCCCAAAATGGAACATTTGTTTTGTTTTGTTTTTATAATCAGTTAATCTAAAATGTATATAGAAACATAGGTTACAATACAATTTTATGAATATTTTGAGCTGCTGAATTTTTTGATCTGTAGAATTCCATACTAAGATGTTTACGTTAGTCTAGAAAACCTTAGGACACTTAAAAAACCCAGCCCTCTGTGGATGGAATATCAAATGGGAGAAGAAGGTCTGATTTTTAATTCTGGTTCTGTGGCTTACTAGCTTTGGTTTTCTTTTCCATTCAGTGATGCTGCTGACAACAACAACCAGCATATATATATATATAATGGTTACTCTGGGCTCTACACTGTTCTAAGTACTTGACATATGTTAATTGATTTAATCCTTAGTAGGCCCAGTTGGTAGACAGTATTATCCCCATTTTATTGATGATGAAACTGAGGCACAAAGATGTTGAGTAGTTTACTCAGGATCACATATTTAGTAAGTGGCAGTGCTAGAATTTCAAACCAGACAGTTGGCTCCAGATTCCATGCTTAAACCACTTCAGTCCGTAGCTTCTCCTGTCCACATGGCCTCATCTTCTATCTATTGTATTTAAACTGAAAGATGTAGAGACAAATGAGTTTACAGATGTAAGTGCTTTGCAAACTAGAATGTTCTATACAAATGTAAACTGGTATTATAATTAGGACCTTGGCATATTTAATCATTTTTATTGACGCATTGCTCTGTGTGTTGACTATGCATTGTAAATCTCTGCTCCAAAGTAATTGACACTGGGTCGTTTAACATTGTAAATGAGTAATACAACTTTGTTCATCTTTGTTCCATCACTTTAAATTTTTCTCCTCCAAAAGGATTTAGAAAAATTGTAGTTCATAGTGTTTTGTCAAAAGTATCATTTCACTGTGGGAGTTTTCATTTGAGATAACTGTTTATGAAATGACATAGTTTTTTAGTTTCTGTGGTGGCTTTGAATAGCAAACTTTTCAGATTGTGAGATGTACTCCAACACTCCAGTTCTTTCAAGAAAGAAGGATGTAGCAAGAAAAATAAAAAGGAGGAGCGCAGTATTTATACTTTTTGGTAGATAAATGGTATTTCTTGAAATGAGAGAAGGAAAGTGTTCTTTCTCTAATAAGCCACTATGTGAATTTTTCTGCTTTAAATCTTTGTAATTAAGCTTGGTCTTTCTTTTGCCCCCAATATGTATTTTTCTTTCTCCATCACAACAAAGGTGTAAAAACACAAGGTAATATATTATAGTTAAAAAGTTCTGAGGTTCCTTCTCTGTGGAAATAAATAATATAGAAATAAATAAAACTGTTTATACCTATTTTAGGAAGCCAGGCACATATAAAAACCAAACCTAGCAGGATGTGGGATTGCCTCCAGTAAAGCCGAGTGGCATCCTTACTTGCTTTAGTTCCCTAAAATATACATAGAAAACATGTAGGCACTTTATTTTCATTTAGTGAGTGCTACTAATCAAAATAATAAGCCTAATACTTAGCTATCAAACT